GTTCCCTAATAAGGAGGCTTTTCCCCTTTACTCCTTATGGGATGGGCCTGGACTTGGCAAGACCTCAGAGGGAGAAGGCTGTGCTGTGTGTTCCCGAAGAAAGGGTCTCAGACAATCTCAAAGAGTTTCTAGCATGGAGCAGGAGCAGCAAAATGACACAGGTGACTGAGAGGGGCAGAGAAGTTGGGATGACCAAGGAACCTCCTGTTGGAGATCAGCTGGTTGTCTTGGAGCTGGTGCTGTGGGCACGTGTGGGGAGGACCAGGTGGGTCTCCATCACCGAACTTTTGGCTCCTCAAATGCACTTCAGGACTTGAACACAACCCTGGGGAAAAGTAGGCGTATGGGAGGGAATACCTTAAGTGACTNACAGGCCGGGAGGATTTGTGCTGGCATGTTGGAATAACCCACTGCTGGTTGGCTGGTTGGCTCAGTTGGTTAGAGCGTGGTGTTGTAACATCGAGGACTGGAGTTCAGATCCCTGTACCAGCCAGCTACCAATAAATAAGTAAATAACCCATTACTTACTGGGAACCTTTTCCACCTGGGAGATATGCTCAGGTTTTCCATTACCTAAGTCTTATCATTTCTAGCACCAAGGAATACAGACCACTTAATCACCAAGGAGCAGAAATGAATTATCTCACCCTTTGGGTGACTTGCTCTTCGGGTGATTTAACACTCTTTAACTTGAGAGGAAAAGCCCAGAGATGCCAGTCAGTTCATATTTGGAATGTTTCATGCTTCAAAGGAGACTTAGGTTATTTGCACAGGTTTATTCTCGTATGTTGATGATTGTCCTTGTTTGGAGATTAGGGGGGAACTTTCTTTTAAGTGATGTCTCTGAATATGGTCCTATTTCTTAAGCCATCCGAGGAAACTCTGATTAAACAAAATATTCTGGAAATGGGATTTTCCAGATAATATAAGACAAATCATATGGGTTTAGTCCAAGTTTAAAATCTATTTAAAATGTTTTATTAGACNTGTATTCAGGGGCTGCTTGCTCAGTGTACAAGGGGACCAGCAGGTCCACAACCTAGGAGAATATAGGTTCTGGATAAGAAAGCCTGGGATCTGGATTCTGCCATTTACTAACTGAGTTCTTGGGCAAGTTTAAAGGCATCTTTACCCCCATTTCCCCATTAGCAAAACAGAGGTAATGATAGTGTCTACCTCACAGGATTGTCGAGAGGATTCAACATGCTGCGTAAATCATGGCGTGAGTCTGAATGGACATTATTATTTATAAATGATCCATGTACATGTACCACCTAGTAACATAAAAGAGATCATCAATTTAATTTATATGTAGGCTCCTCACACTAGAGTTAAGTATGAGACCAAGCAAAAGAATTTAGGGTTAGACTTTTTAGGTAATTCCTAGTTTGTGGAGTATAAGGGTAGTTTTACACAGAGTGATGAATAGACTTACCTACCTGACTACAGGCCGGGAGGATTTGTGCTGGCATGTTGGAATAACCCACTGCTGGTTGGCTGGTTGGC